TGCCATTGGAAAAAGAGGGGGCCAGTGGAAAGGGGGGGGGGCCGAAAGACCAATTACTCAAGATGAGCTAAGATCTCCTGTAGGGCAAGCCCACTTGGAGTAAAATCCTTCGAACCCCCCAAAAATGCCCAAAAGCTCCATGAAGACTAGGCAGAAAATCATCCCCAGCCTGCTGTTGAACTCTTCTTGGATATCCCTCCTGCAGAGGCACGCGCCCGACTTAATTACTGCTGTGCCGGGCTCGGACCTTCTCCACGCGCGCGAAGGGGTTGTTCGGCGCGGCGCGGGCCGCCTCGCTGGTCAGGTCGCGCGCGTGCCCCAGGCCCTGATCCAGCTCGAAGGTCCAGCACCTGGGGGAGCCATAAGTGAAGGCGCCCTGGGACACACAAACAAATACACACAAATAACAAGAGTCCCCATATTCTACCATAGTTTCTGGGGTTCTGTCTTCCCCCCCACTTCCCATCTTTTCCCGGATGTTCTAGGGAGTCGACGATTAATTGTGTCTGTGTGTTTTTTCCCTCCTGAATAAGGTTAGGCGGCGGGTGAGGGGGTGCGGGACGGGAAAATGACCACAGCCACTGCTTCTTGTTTGCGCCGCCTTCCAGCCGGCCGAAAAAGAAGCAGTGGTTGTGGTCAGGTCCCTGGTGCCAAGCTGAACGAGAATGACCACAACCACTGCTTTGTTTCTGCTGGCTGGAAGGCGGCAACAAAAGAAAAGCAGTGGCTGTGGTCGTTTTCACGTCCCGTAAGGGGGGAAAAGAGAAGGGGCGGGCCCTCTCAGAAGGCTCGGAAGTCCCCGGGCCTTCTGAAAAGTTTTCTCAGCCTTCCCCGAAGACAGAAAAAGACCTCTCGGAAGGCGCGAGGACTTCTGAGAAGTCCCCCCCTTGCTCGCCGCCGAAAGGTACCGATACCGTTACTCTTAGGTCGGACATGTCCCCCTACAGGCGGCTTGTGGACGAACAAACTAAAAACTAGTCACAGCATGCTCAAACACGGTCGGAAAGAATCCAAAAATCGTCGTCCCCCGACTATTTTTGACTAGTTTTGAATTTTCCTCCTGTAGAGAGAGGGACAAGCCCGACTTAACTAACGCTACTCCCCAGACCTCTCCCAGGCTGCGTTCTGACCAGGACTTCGAGGCGAACCCGGCGGTGGCGACGACGGCCTCCCAGGAGGCCCACACAGGGGGAAACGAGGCCCAGGCCGGGGGAAACGAGGCGGCCCAAACGCGGCATCACACACGGAGGAGAAGGGTAGCGGTATGGGGTACCTTTTCCTCCTCTGAGCTGGGGACACCAGAAGGTACTGATACCGCTACTCCCCGGACCTCTCCTGGGGTGCGTTCTGACCAGGACTTCGAGGCGAATCCAGCGGTGGCGACGAGGGCCGCCCAGGAGGCCCGAAACGGGGAAGACGAGCGGCGAAGGGTAGAGGTATGGGCACCTTTTCCTCCTCTGAGCACCTCTCGGCGGTGGACAAGCCCCCCTTTCGCAAACCTCCCCTCAGTGAAAACGGCCCGGGACCGAAACCGACGGACCTGGACCCGCCAAAAGAAATGACGGCCGCGGCGCCCTCTCGCGAACCGAAAGCGGCCCATTCGCTCGTCGACGCGTCAGGGTAGGAGGTGTACTCCAGATTTCGTAATAAAGGGAGGGGGGTCTCATTTCGGGGGGGGGTCTCTTCCAGGCTATCTTGGAGGGCCTGGGGGGGTCTGGGGACGATGTTTTGGAGTGTTCTCCCACGGGGGAGGTCTGAAATGGCTTGTCTTTGAGGGTCCAGACCCCCTCCCTTTTATTACGAAATCTGGAGTAGCAGTCTCCGAACCTCGCGTCGCCGCCCGCGCTCATGAAGGAGTACGCCCGCAGCGTGCCCTCCGCGCCCAGGCCCGAGCTCTCGAGGACGAGGCTGCTCTCCAGCGCGGGCAGGCCCGAGGAGACCCCGGAGGCCTGGCTGTGCATCGCCAGCCGCCGCCCCTCGAGGTCCACGCGCAGCTGGCCTCTCTGCAGGGGCCCGGGGGCACATCAGAAGAAAAGCACACGCGAGCATCCCAGGACTCCCCAGCTGGCCTCTTTGCAGGGGCCCAGGGGCACAGAAGTAAACACACGAGAATCCCAGGATTCCCCATATTTTTCGTGTATATATATATATATATATATATAGCTATATATATTATGGGATCTCGTCTTCCCCCTCCACGTCCCATAGTTTTCCATATCTTCCTGGGAGTCGACGATTCATTGTGCCCGCGTGCTTTTCTCTCCCCCTCCTGACCTTTGCTGGTGGAGACGCCCTCGGAGGCGCAGCAGGAGGACGCCTCGAAGGCGAACTGGAACCCGCGCAGCTCCGGGCCGAGGATGCCCACTGGCGGCGGCGGCACCGGCGGCCGGGGCGGCGACAGCGCCGAGAGGGCACGCACGCTCCGCGCCACGTCCGGCGGCAGCAGCCCCACCACCTCCGCGGCCTCCGCGAGCTCGCTCAGCACCGCCGCCGAGGCGTCGGAGAGGGTCTGGGACTCCCAGGCCCTCGGCGAGGCATGCTCGGGGCACTCCCACGAGGCCGGGGCGCCGAGCTCGTCCTCCTCTCGGCCGCGGGCAGGACGCGGCCCTGGGCAAGCGAGTGTGGCCCTGTGGTGCGCGCCTCTCGAGGGCCGCTGGGGGCGGGGAGGGGGGGGGGGCAGGTCCAAGCGCGCAGGACACTGCTCTGGGGAAGCCAGCGGGCCCGCACCGATCAGGTCACTACAGAGGAGGGCCACTCTTCTTGCGCGCAGCCGAGTCCTCGCCCGTCCAGGCCTGGTCCGGGTCGTCCGGGTTGTCGCCGCCGACGTCCTTGTAGGACTCCGTCCACCTCTCCAGGTACGCGGGCGCGGATGCCGCTGGCTCGCCGCTCTCCAGCTGGAGGGCGCAGACAGAGCGGCTGTTCTCGTTGTACCACAGAGTGGCGCCGCTGGCCTGGGGCGGGGCGGCGGGATCGCTCCGGTCGCCGTGGACGGAGAAGCGGTTGCAGTACGCCTGGGACTCGCCGACCACCTCCACGGCGCTCCAGGCGTAGCTGCGGCCGCCCCCTTGAGACCCCTCACCCGTCGAGGCCTCGTCCAGGAGCGGGAAGGTGATACACCGCGCCGTGGCGGCATCCTGCCGGACGCGCACGAAGAGCAGGCCACGAGAGGCGACGAGGGAGACGTTGGCTCCACCGGTGGCGGGGTCCGCGTTGGCGGTCATGCGCACCACGCGGCGCGTGTTGTCGATGGCGACGGAGCCCGTTGCGCACGACTCCGCGCACTTCAGGTACGCGAAGGAGACCGACGAGAGCTCTGCCAGGGCAGGGAAGTCTGGCTCTCTCTGCACGACCACATTCACGTTGCCCGCGAGTCCCAGGATCTCGATCACCATCGAGTCTATGTCCAGGTATCTCAGCGCGTAGAGCGTGTCCTTGAGGGCCTCTGACCACCCGTGAGGCTGGCTCAGGCCCAGGTCGATGACCTCGTCCTCCTCGCGGGCACCGCCAGAGCTGGCCCTGGCCCAGGGCGGCCTCAGCCTCTCCGGGGGAGGCCCAGGCGACCTCCACGAGCACCCCTCTCGGGGCACCGGACGGCAGCAGGGGCTCCCGAGCGGCGCGGAGAGCCGGGGCCGCTCTGGGCCAGGGCCACCTCTGGTAACCCCCGGGCCTCGGGCACCTCGCTGCACCGCCAGGCGGCGTCCGGCGCGGCAAACTCCTTGTCCGAGGTCCCGTGCCACTTCAGGATCTCCGTGCGGCGCAGCACCTCGCCGTCGTGCCGCACCTCCGCCTGCAGGAACGCGTCGGGGTCCTTGGCCTCGAGGTCCACCCACAGGTACAAGTGGCGGCCCCTGGCCAGCTCCACCACGAAGACGGCGCAGTCCTCCTCGCGCAGCTGGGCCAGGGCGTAAAACTGCAGCGGCCTGCCGATGAGGGCCTGCATCTCCTGGGCGACGGCGTCGTGCTGCTGGGGCCAGCTGTCCTGGGGGAACTGGATGCACTGCTGCTCGGCCTGCGCCGTCAGGTTGACGTTGAGCCAGATGGCCGGGTGCTCCTCCCCGTCCGCCACGAGGTCGAGGTACACGGGGCCGACCGAGGTCAGCGGCTCGGAGTCCTGGATGCGGAAGGAGCGCACCTCCCGGTTGAGCCACACCGTGCCCTTGCTCGACTGGGGGACGTCGAACGTGTGGTTGTCCTCCCCGAGCTGGAAGACGGTGGCCTCGTAGTCGAAGCCCACCCCGCGCCGCGACTGGAGGTCGGGCGGCCGAGGCTCCTCCATCAGCACCGCGACGTCGCCCGGCACGGCCACGGTGTTCAGCATGATGAACAGCTCCGACCAGTCCTTCGTCTTGCCGTGGTCCGCCAGGACGAGCAGCAGGTCGTTCAGCGCGGAGGAGGCGCGGTGGGGCGGTTTCAGCAAGATCTCTGCCACGGGGTTGACGAAAGAGCCCTCCGGCTTGCACTCGAGGCCGGGCGGGCCGAAAGCCTCGTCCTGGTTCTCCAGGTTGCGCAGCAGACCGCCCATGAACTCGTCGGTGTCGTCGACGCCCTCGAGGGTCACATTCTTGACCACCCTGTCCCCCTCCCTGAGAGCGATACCCTTGACCTCCTCCCAGTTCTTGTTGCCCTTCAGGGTGAAGTCGAATGTGTAGCTATTCGTCCAATTGATCGACCTCACATCCTCACCTGCGTGCCGTCCTGGATGTTCTGCCTCATCCGCCTCCTTATGCTGCCACTCATGGACCTGCTTGCTGCGCCACCTCAGCGTCTTCATCCGCTCCTTGTTCTCCGCGGGGTCAGGGAAGTCATAGATCACGCACTGCGTCTTGTGCATTTCGCTGATGTTGAACAGCGCGTACATCTTTTGGTTCGGCGTGTCCAAGACCAGGGTGATCTCTCCAACGCCGAAACGCGGCGTGCGCGCCTTGCCCTTGAGGCGGATGCGCGGCATGCCCTGCCTGTAGGCGACCAGGAGCTCGCCCTGACCCTCCCGGCGCATGTCGGCGCGCTCTAGCGCGAACTCGTACTTGAGGCAGAGTTGGCCGCTCCCGCCGTCGTCCACAAACTCGGCCGTGGCTAGCTCCTCTCGAAACGGACGAGTCAGACGGCAGTGAGGGCAACGAGCCGGCTGCGCGCAGCCGGCTTTCGGGCGCCCCTTGGCGCCGGGACCGGCCATGCATCGAGGGAGGTGCCCCGCGGTGGAGTCGAAACGAACCGGATCGACTCAGAATCGCGGCCGAATCGGATCGCAGGCAGCCCTGGAGGCCATCGCGGCCCCCTCCCCAGGAAGCAGCCCCCACCCTGAGGCCCCCACGGAGGTCCTCGAGGGTCGGGCCGTCGTCGTCGTCGTCGTCGCCGCCGCCCTCCAGCCCGCGCGCGGCCGCATGGCGGCCTCCCCGCGGCCGGGGCCGCGGCGCATCGAACGCCGCGGCGTCCTGAGGCGACGCCGCCGCCACCGCGGCAACCGCCGCCAGGAGGCACCCCACAGCGGCCCAATGCAGCGACGGCCGCGGCCGCGCCGGCAGGGCGTCGCCGCGCATGGCGGCGGCGCACTCTGCGGGAAGGCCCGTGGCGCGCGCCGAGGGACGTGCTGCCGCACGGGCGCCCCTGCTGCGGGGGCGCGGGCGCGCACGAGCCAAAATGGCTGCGCATGGTCCCCTCCCCGTCCCCTCGCCCTCCCACCTCCCGCCTCCCGCCTCCCTCTTCCTCCTTTTCCTCCTCCTCCTCCTCCTCCTTTTCCTCCTCCTCTCGTCCTCCTCCTCATCCTCCTCCTCCTCCCTCCTCCTCCTCCTCCTCCTCCCTCCTCCTCCTCCGCATCCTCCCCCTCTGCCTCTCCTCCCCCCGCTGGTCTCCGCCCCTCTCCTCTCCTCCTCCTTACTCCCTTCCTTCTCTCCTGCTCCTCCTCCTCTTCCCTCCTCCTCCTCCTCCTCCTCCTCCTCCTCTCTCCTCCTCTTCGCTCCTCCTTCCCTCTCATCCTCCTCCACTCTCCTGCCGCCTCTCCTCCTCACTCGCCTCCTCCCCTCCTCCCTCCTCCTCCTCCTCCTCCTCCTCCTCCTCCTCCTCCTCGCCACAACAAATTGTGGCCCCTTCTACTCTTTCTATTTCTCTTTCTCTTTCTCTTTCTCTTGCTCTTGCTCTTGCTCTTGCTCCTGCTCTTTCTCTTTCTCTTTCTCCTTATTCTTTTCCTTTTCTAAGAATACTAAGTGCCATCAGTCAGCATACATCGGGAGGCGCTCAACGGTTGATGCCCCCTTCCAGGCCATCAGCAGGAGTGGTCAAAGAGGGGAGACCAAGGACTTGGCTCTCGGCAATGAGATATGTCCCGTGAGCAACCCCCTGGCCGCAAGAGCGGTCAATGAGGGGGCGACCAAGGGATCAGTCTTCGGCATCCTCCTCTGCCCTCACCTCCTCCTCCTTCTTCTCCTCCTGCTTGGTCCTTTGTGTGAGCTGGGGCACCGGTCCTCGATGTTGAACCGGGCGTCTCAGGGTGACCCGAGTAGTCCCCCCTGGCCGCAACAGCGGTCAAGGGGGGGGCGACCGGAGGATTGGCTTTCGGTAGAACGAACCAGTGAACGCGTCTCAATCGCTGCTTGCGATGGCGCGAGGGGGCGCAACCCCCGTTGCAGTCTGCATGGCCGGTCGCGCATGGGTGTGGGGCTGTTGTAAAACAAGGATGCCGCCACACAGCCCACGCGGGGGGTTAACAAATTGCCCCCCCCCCATGTTTCAAATTGCGGGGGCGATGGCGTACAGCAGACAACCGGCAAAACAAGGGTGCCGCCACACACGTTGTTCCGAGCAGCGTGCTTCGGCCCCCCTGCCCTTTGCCTTCTAAGATGCCTTTGGTGGAGCTTCCTCCTCTCGTCCGCCCTCGTGAAGCTCCTTGACTCTTCCTGTAACCAGAAGGGTAGGGGGGTCGTTAGGGCTGTTCCCTTGGTCCTAAGAGACGCCCTGGTCGGGACTGTCCGCACAGAGTGTGGTTCCACAAGGGCCCATTCTTCCGGTGCGGAGGGCGCTGCCGAGGCGCCTGGACCAGGGGCGCTGCCCCACAGTCCAAGGGGTGGGGGCTTGTTAGGGCAGTTCCTGATTGGACCTCCGTCGGGGCATCCGCACCAAGTGTGGCTACACGCTGGCCCCGATCTTACTTCGGAGCTGCGCCGCCGAGGCGCCTGGCCAGCTCGGCCTATCCCCATAAACCTTTCCCTCCTGGCACAAGGGGGGGAGGAAAGGGAGGGGGATGGGACACGGGCTGCCCCACAGGTTGGGGGATCGTTAGGGTTGTTTCCCCTCTGGCCCTAAGAGACCCCCGCAGTCGGGACACGACCGCCGAAACCCGGAACAGGGGCAACTTCCCCTCCCTGCCCGTGGACTCGGGCCAGACAAAAGGCTACACCGCGGGCTTACCCCCTCCCCAGCCTCTGGCTCCAGGCTTCTGCCATCCAATAAACTTGACGATTTTGGCAACAGCTGCCAAAGCGTTAAAGATGGATTTAGCTACCCTAT